AAAAAAAAAACCGGCTGCAGCAGTACATCAACAGGAACTGCTAAAAATTCAAGCCAGATTCAGAAGAGGACGTGGAATGAGGGATATCATTACTGATGTCAGATGGATCTTGGCTGAAAGCAGAGAAAACCAGAAAGATGTTTATCTGTGTTTTATTGACTATGCAAAGGCATTTGACTGTGTGAATCATAACAAATTATGGATACCATTGTGAAGAATGGGAATTCCAGAATACTTAATTGTGCTCATGCAGAATCTGTACATAGACCAAGAGGCAGTTGTTCAAACAGAACATGGGGATACTGCGTGGTTTAAAATCAGGAAAGGTGTACATCAGGGTTGTATCCTTTCACCATACCTATTCAATCTGTATGCTCAGCAAATAATCCGAGAAGCCAGATGTCTTAGCCATTTAGTGCTGCTATAATAGAAATACCACAAGTGGATGGCTTTAAGGAAGAGAAGTTTATTTCCTTACAGTAAAGTAGGCTAAAAGTCCAAATTCAGGGTGTCAGCTCCAGGGGAAAGCTTTCTCTCTCTGTCGGCCTTCTCATCAATGCTCCTCCGGACTAGCTTCTCCGCGTATGGACCCCAGGTCCAAAGGACACGCTCTGCTCCTGGTACTGCTTTCTTGGTGGTATGAGGCCCCCCTGTCTCTCTGTTGGCTTCTCTCTTTTATATCTCAAGAGACTGCCTCAGGATACAATCCAATCTTGTAGTTTGTGTCCTGCCTCACTAATACAACTGCTGCCCATCCTCCCTCATTAACATCATAGAGGCAGGATTTACAATGTGTAAGAAAATCACAATACCAGGAATCATGGCCCAGCCAAACTGACACACACATTTTTGGGGGAACATAATTCAATCCATGACACTGGACTGTATGAAGAATGGGGCACCAGGATTGGAGGAAGACTTATTAACAACCTACAATATGCAGATGACACAACCTTGCTTGCTGAAAGTGAAGAGGGCTTGAAACACTTACTGATGAAGATCAATGACTAAAGCCTTCAGTAAGGATTACACCTCAACATAAAGAAAACAAAAATCCTCACAACTGGACCAATAAGCAACATCATGATGCACAATGAAAGATTGAAGTTGTCAAGGATTTCATTTTACTCGGACCCGCAATCAATACCCATGGAAGCAGCAGTCAAGAAATCAAATGACATACTGCATTGGGCAAATCTGCTGCAAAAGACCTCTTTAAAGTGCTCAAAAGCAAAGATGTCACTTTGAGGACTAAGGTGCACCTGATCCAAGCCGTGATATTTTCAATTGCTTCGTATACATGTGAAAGCTGAACAATGAATATAGAAGACCGAAGAATTGATGCCTTGAATTATGGTGTTGGCGAAGAATAATGAATATACCATGGACTGCCAGAAGAATGAACAAGTCTGTCTTGGAAGAAGTACAGCCAGAGTGCTCCCTGGAAGCGAGGATAGCGAGACTTTGGACATGTTATCAGGAGGGACCCGCCCCTGGAAAATGACTTCATCCTTGATAAGATAGAGCGTCAGTGAAAAAGAGGAAGACCCTCAACGAGATGGACTGACACAGTGGTTGCAACTGTAGGCTCAAACATAGCAATGATTGTGAGGATGTTGTAGGACTGGGCAGTGCTTTGTTGTACATAGGGTCGCTGTAAGTCGAAACCGACTGAATGGCAAATGACAACAACCCTCCCACGTGCACTGACGTTGGTCAGCAACTAGGAAGCCCATGATGCTTCCGTGACCAGACCTTATACTCGGACCTCATTACATAGGCATGATTGATTGAATCATGACCCCTCCCTAAGGTCCACGGATATCACTTGGTCGGTCTTTCTTGCCTGGTCAGCCCGCACCCAAGAGGCACTTCATTAGCATGAAGCCTCAGGCGTGGCCTAAAAGCTTCATTAAAGACATTTTAATCACTAGGGAAATTCCAAGGTTTTAAAGTTTATCTCTCAGGAGCCAAGGACAAAGGACAAACACTAAATTCTTTGTATACCAAAGTTCATTGTAAACCTCACACCCATCAGACTGGCCAGGAAGTACTAACATGCCCAAAACACAACTCTTAAAAATTTTCATTAGTCATATTTTGAAAGATCTGCATATTTTGAAAAATGTTAAAATTTATTAATAATAGCTAACATCACATAGTTAATTCAACTAGTTACGAATTGTACATAATGACAACATCTCCACTAGACTGAATGGGGAAGGATTTGAGACGACCTGCTATTCAACACATTTGGGTCAAAGATTGAGATCAGCAGTATTTACATCAGGCAAAGCAGCATCAGCAAAGGGTTGTCACCTAATTCTGGGAACACAAACATTCAAATTGCATTTTCAACAACGCATTTTTATAATAGTCATACAAACACATGCATACCTCTATGTTTTTAAACGTGTAATTTCATAGGTGCCTAATATTCAAGTTTAAACATTAAAATTCATCTCTATTTTGTGGTCACACTTTAGTGATATACAGATCTAGAGGTATCTTTTGGCTTCTTTGTAGTAAGAGGCATCCACCATTTCAGATCAATTAGTGCAGAAGGAAGATGGCAGAGGGGTGCACACGAGACAGGTGAAGTGAGACCAGAACAAATGAGAAGGCCCAGCCCCTCTTCCCTCCATACTTCCCAGGAGGATCTGGGCAAACCTAGTGCTATACATGCATCATACCCCACCTTGTTCAAAAAAATGATATAATCCTATCTTTTTCTCATACAAGTTTGATAAATGTGCAAAGACTCGATACTACTGAGTCATGAGCTTCTTTCTACCTTTCTGTTTTGATCTTTGCACCCTATTCAATAGTGCTACAAGGGCATTCTCTCTTCACTGTGTGGTATTCAGCTTCAGTAAGAGTGTGGGTATGTGTATTTTTAGGGCAGAAGTGGGCTTTCAGATTCAGCATTAACTGGGCTCTCGGAAAGAAGGGTGTGGAGGCTTTTATGCAGCTCCCATCCCTCCTAGCAATTTGACATCAACACTGTGTATAAAAACACACAAATGGATCAGCAGATCGATGCCAGCGCAGCCTAGGGAAGCACACAGACAACATTTTTTGTCAGACATTTGCAAAACCAACCCAAAGTGAAATTTGCTAGAAGGGCACAAATATGCCAAGAATGTTGTCCCTGAGGTTTTTGGTGGTTGTTGTTGAATTGTTTTGTTTTGTTATTGAGCAAGTAGACACAATTAAAAATAAAATGTCAGTGGCTTCTTGATCTTGTCAGAGACCTTGAAAACACTACCGATTGCCCTTAAGAATAAAGACTTCTAAGAAATGAGTCTACTTGAAATGATTCCCATTTCCTTTGGTTAACATCACACGTAATATTGCCAGGAAAGGCTCGAGACACAGCAGCAAGGTGCTGTGACTCTTCAGTGATGGCCCAGCCTCCGTCACTCCATCCCCGCCATCCATGTTCCAGTTCACAGGGGAAGGAGGGGCCAGGAAGCAGCTGCTTTGTTCGTCACTCACCCGGAAGAGGTCCTCCTTCACTTCTCCACAGGTGAATGAGGTATTTCTAGTGACCAGTGAGTATCTTGACCTTCCGTCCTTTAACCCCACTGATTTTCTGATGAGGCTGACTCTGATAAGTCCCTGCACATCTATATACATAGCAAATTAACATATAAATACATTGCATACAACCGACCATTACATACAGTGTCACGATGAAGGTGCAGATCTACTTCACAAACTAAATAAACTCCAAACATAAATTAAAATGAAAATACAGTGTTTTCCACTTTTTCAGGAAAATTTTAAAAAACAAACAGAAAGCCCCCTCTCTCCCAAAGGTCCATTGCTCAAAGATGATTCTGCAGTGAGATGCTCTGCCAGCCACTTGCAGAACGTTGTCGACTCTTGGCTTTGGTTTTGCTTGACCAGACTCAGGGCTGTACCCCTTGATTCCAGGAACCCACAGGGCAAACGCTTGTAGATGAGGTTGAACAGGGTCTTCTATGTGGATATTCATGGATTCCCCTCCATTGTCGCCCCCTCCCCGCCATGTTCTGTCTGTAAGAGAATCCGGCTCAAGTAAGCAGGGACCTCCCCAGGCTCTGGTGGGAGAAACAGTATCAATATCCTTGCTGGGGTGGGGTGGTGCTCTCCCCCAAGAAATGCCAAGTTCAGGCTCCAAGATGAAGCAACTGTATCCTTGCATTTGTGTCCTCATCCTATAGGATTATATAGAGACGTGGAATTTGGCCAGGGGTTTAGAATTTGAAAGAAGTTTTAATAGAACCAGTGGGAATTGTTGTGATGGGTGTGAACGAATCCTTACTTCAAATTGTATTTATCTTGAGAGGGCCAAGGGTGGACACCGCACAATACAGTGGCAAAACCCAGTCTGACAGGATCCTCTCTGCCCAGGAAAAGCCAAAGGTGTCTGGCACAAGGGGATGGCACCTTATAATTTAAAATTACAACAGGGAAGAGAGGGAAGCAGAGTAAGCCCCTTCCGACTTCAGGGGCTCTATCGCTGTCCGGCCTCGCGGATGCGGCAGGCGACGGCCGTGATGAGAGCCGCCCCCTTTCCGCTGCCGTCCTCGGACTCCAGGAAGGACACATCACATCGCGGAGCCAGGTCCTTCACTGTCTCATGCATGATTTTGGCAAAGCTGAAAAAGGTGCGGGGTAGACACAGGTGAAAATGCCTTAGTCATGATCGATTTGTGTCCTCTGAGATGAGCCCCTGAGCAGTGATGCCGGAAACCCAGGAATCCTTACAGTGAGGAGAAGAATGACAGCTACCATGTGTTGGTTGAATGCTTACTACGTGTTGCGTACCAGAAGACTGAGTCTCAGAAAGGCAAGTAACACGTCCAAGTTCTATGTCATAGCTGCCAAGTGGAGGAGCTAGGATTCAGCTCTGGGACAAAGGTCTGGGATTCTGACAAAGCTGTTCTTAAAACTAACCAGTCCTGCTGGGCGGAGGGCTGTGGGGACCATGGTCTCGGGGAACATCTAGCTCAACTGGCATAACACAGTTTATAAAGACAGTGTTCTACATTCTACCTTGGTGAGTAGCATCTGGGGTCTTAAAAGCCTGTGAGTGGCCATCTAAGATACTCCACTGGTCTCATCCCTTCGGGAGCAAGGGAGAATGAAGAAACAGGATACAAGGAAAAGATTAGTCCAAAGGACTAATGGACCACAGCCAACAAGGCCTCCACCAGACTGAGTCCAGTACAGCTAGATGGTGCCCAGCCACCACCACTCACTGCTCTGACCAGGATCACAACAGAGGGTTCTGGACAGAGCTGGAGAAGGATATAGAGCAAAATTCTAACACACACACAAAAAGACCAGATTTACTGGCCTGAAAGAGACTGGAGAAACCCTGAGAGTATGGCCCCCAGACACCCTTTTAGCTCGGTGGTGAAGTCACTTCCAAGGTTCACCATTCAGCCAGCCATATACCAAAATGGGACTAATGAGGCACAGCAGTCCAGGGACAAGGATAGAAGGCAGAAGGGGACAGGAAAGCTGGTGATAGGGAACCCAAGGTTGAGTAAGGACAGTGTTGACATGTAGTGGAGTTGTTAACCATTGTCATAGGGCTACATGTGTACTAACCGTTTAATGAGAAACAGTTTTGTTCTGTAAAACTTCATCTAAAGTGAGAATAGCAGCACAACTGGAAGAACGTAATCGATGTCACTGAATTGTGCATGTAGAAATTTTTGAAATGGTGTATCTTTGGCTATGTATATTTTCACCAGAAAAAAGGTCAAGAAGGGAGAGTGTTGACATGTTGTGGGGTTGTTAACCAGTGTCGTAAGATACTATGCGTACTGACTGTTTAATGAGAAACTATTTGTTCTGTAAACCTTCACCTAAAGTGCAATAAAAAAAGAAAAAAAAAAACTAACCAGTCATGGAAGCCACAAGTGTGTCTTGCAGAAGACCACAACCTGTTTATAAGCTCTGGAGGGGAGCCAAGGCCATGTGATTTCATATTTCCCAGGGGCATTGCCTTATATCCCAGACTCATATTTACTCCGATGTGCCATTAAAAGGCAAAGGAGGAGACTTACGCAGTTGCTGTTGGGACATTAAAATGATCACAGATAACCTCCTTTTGATATGGGACCAGAGAAAGATATATAGTAAAACCTGTGAAAGCCGGAACCTACGTAAGGTGGAAACCAGTCAGAGAAGAAAAGCTCAAATATTTTCCACTAAAACAAGCGATAGAAAAGTGGTAAGCCTGCACCCTGTCAAAGGCAGAAAACTTTAAGAGACCCAGAAAAACAAGGCAATCCCATTGAGTTAGGGCTTTCACAGGTTTTACTGTAGTTACCCTTTGTCCCAACACAGCAGTGTTAGGACAAAGCTGAGAACAGAGGCTTCTCACGTCAAGCCCTGGTGCCAGTGGCTGGCCTTGTGACACAGATAATCAAGAAGAGAGACTCAGAACTTCTGAAGTTCTGCTCTTGTCAATAGCCACATAGGCTCTGGACAAGTCGTTTAACTCCTTGAAATAATTATCAGGAGAGCAGGTAATGATTATACTAAGGAGTCTCTGCATCTTCTTATACCTCCACCACTACTCAGGCTGGCGGCACAGATTTCTTCTTTTAATCTTTTAGACGAAAGGCATTCCAGGTGGGGAGGGCTTGGGGCACTTCCTGACTTCAAAATAATCTATTCAAAAGTACATGCAAATGAGGAAATGAGGGAGGAGCGAAATGGTAAGAAGAGAGAGAGAGAGGGAAAGAGAGGGAAAAGAGTAAAAAGAAAAGGGAATTCAGCACTTCCATACTTGGGAGTCAGCAAACTTTTTCTATAAAGGGCCAGATAGTAAATATTTTCAGCTTTGTGAGCCATATGGACTCTTTCTCAACTACTCTGCTGTCTAGCATGAAAATAACCCTAGACAATAAAATACATAAACAAATGAGCATGGCTGCATGCCAATAAAACCATTTACAAAAGCAGACAATGGCCGTAGTTGCCAATCCCTGCTCTAGACTGTAGAAAAACTCTTGCTGAAGAGCGCCAGCATTCGTTTCCCAGAATGTTCACAGCAGCACGGTTTTTCGCACTCAAAATCGAGAGACAACCCAAACACACATCAACAGTAGGACAGATCAGCTATAGTACACTCACTCAAAAGTACACCATTCAGCCCTAAAAATGAATGAACAAGTACACATTTCAATGTGGAAGCATCTCAAACCATAAATGCTGTGAGAAAAGCTGGTCACAGAAGAAGAGATGTCATAGGATTCTATTTATGGCAAGTTCAAAAATAGGTAAAACTGAACTATGTCTCTCTCTATAAACTATGTCTATATATAGACATGCAGGAAAATAGGAAAGCAAGTGACTGACTCAACATGGAGGTCATCCCTGGCAGGGGGGCGTGGAGGGTGCAGTTAGGGAGGGGCTCCTTGGGGGCTGCTAACACTGGGTGGTGGAAACACAGGTCTACTTCCAGTTATTAATCATTACACTGTATATAGATGTGTGTGTGTATGTGTATATACAGGTAGTTCCTGACTTACAATGGGGTTCCATTCTGATGACTACTCCATCATAAGTTGGTTTTGACGTTAGCCAAATACCTCATTTTTTTAGAATTTTCATTATTATTGCCTTTTATTATCGGTATCTTCATAAATCTGATCTTTGTCTTTAGGGGTTGGGAATATTACATCTGAAAACGATGGTATCAGCAAATTACACCCTGCAACATTGTATGTAGCACATATTATTAACAATACCAAAAACCAAACCAAACCCATTGGCGTCAAGTCAATTCCAACTCAGAGCAACCCTATAGGACAGAGTAGAACTGCCCCATAGGGTTTCCAAGGAGCAGCTGGTGGACTCGAACTGTCAATCTTTTGGTTAGCAGCCGAGTTCTTAACCACTGTGCCACCAGGGCTCCTACTAAAAATAAGATGCAACAAAAAAAAGATGGCCGTAAGTGTAGTTGGTAACTCAATGCATCGTAAGTC